AAAATAAAATAAAATAAAATAAAATAAAATGAAATAAAATAAAATGTAGTTGCGCTTGTAATCCCAGTACTTACAAGGCTGAATGAAGTAGGAGGTTCACCATGAATCTGAAGCCAGCCTGAATTACATAAGTGAGACACTGTCTCAAAAAATCAAAAACCAACCAAACAAAAAAAACCCCACACTAGTATCTGAACAGAGTCACTGAGTTTGTGATCCATCTTGTGTTATTTCTTAGGTTTGGTGATTATAAAAGGTATTTTGTTTGGACAGTAAGAGTTTCACAAATCTTTGTTAAGTGTTCTGATGAAAAATTACTTACTTTCTCCAGGTCTTCCTGTTGCTGTTCATTGCCTGACATTTCACAAAGTCGCTGGCTGACAGCCACAGAGCGTTTTAGCTCATCTTCACTGTCTGAATCAGTGCATAAAGCCAAGGAGCTCTTGGATTTAAAGGTGAATTTCCTACAATTAAAAAAAAAAGTGTGATAAACATTTGTCTTTGTTATTCTTTTGATGTATGTATAAATACCAAACAAAACACTTTTTCATTTGGAAAACTATTTGACAGAGAAAGCAGATTATCAAAAGAGATACAGTAATCATTACCTTTGACCCTAAAGAGCTATGGTATGAAAACTGGATAACTCCTATGCTACTATATTATCATCAATAAGCCAATCATATTGTACCCTTTTCTGTCAATGATCAACCCCAAAGAAGTTTGCTGCTATCTTTATAAAGTAAATATTCTACTGAATTCATGCAGGCATTGCAATGAGTAAACATTTTTGACAAAAAAGTGCATGATAACTATTTTTGATCTTTTAAATTATGATCCATGCACTTTTAAAAATAACAGTAACATTCCACTTATCCAATTATCTGTAGGTCAGACTTCTGGCAACCTCTGCCTTTCAGAACACAGAGGTTTTAAAGTAAGAAAAAAGCCTTCTAAGCAGGCAGTTCTAAAGCCAAAGCACTTAGATATTTTCTCACCCAAGAAATGGTGTATAAAATAGTGTAGCAAGTTCATCAAGAAATGAGAGCTAGGAAATGAGAGAAAATAATCACAGAAAAGGACAAAAAAGAACTATAAAGATATTTACTGTAAGGGCAAACTGTCCTGTAATAATTTAGAGCTCCTTCTGAGTGTAGCGTCACGTTAATACACAGTGCAATAATCAACACTCATAATGCTCATTCTACGTCATTATCATTGTAAAATATCTTCACAATATTTAAGAATATAAGGAATAGTACAACATATTTTAGAAAAATTTTCATCCAAAATGGCTAAAACTTTTAAAAGATAAATGCTTACAAAGGCAAGCCTCAATTACATAAAAATTAATCTATGTGGAACACCAAATATTATTCTTACTTATACCAGATAAGGTGTTACTGTGTTTTCTCTGTGAGCTGAAAATAAACTAAAGGAAAAGAGGTAAATGCCAAAGAACAAGAACCTTCTTGGATAGAAGTTAAAATAAATTCATATGCTATAGTTAAAAAATATATATATAAAACGGAAAAATGAAAAATGCAATTAATCTAAATGTGAAAACTATAAACATATGGAGTGATGGCACCAGGAAAGAGGCCACAATGGAAATCAGGAGGACTGCACAGCAGCAGAGATCAAAAAAAAGAGGCAGTAGTCAGTGAGAAGCCCACACGTGGCCTGTGGCTGGAACAGTTGGGATATCACTGCACTCCAGCCTGAACACTTAAACAGCCTCCTGTTATGTGTTCAAAAGGGTTCTTAGTATAACTTAGAAATAGCCAATTAGTCATCTTAATTCCTTATTTCTGATTTAATGCTCACCAAGCAAACCCGAATGTATGAATTTATCCAGGTAAAAACTTCGGTGAAGAAAATGACACCTGGCTATTATTTCACCAGGGTCAAATGTGACAAAGGACATTGCAGGAGAACCAATGGTAGTATAGTTCATAATTCAGCCTCTTTTAAGTTTGATCGGCATGATGGATCTTCTAGGGCCTAATCATCCTTTACTGACCAACTCTCAAATTCTCATATCCATAGACCCTGGAGAACAGATGACCATGCCAAGGTATAATGATGTCTAATGAAACTATCTGTTTCTTGCAACTATAGTGATTTGGTAGATAAAGAGTGCATTCCATTAATAATTACTATATTTACAGAAGGCAGCTTGCCTGTAGCAATGAAAAATATTCATCTTGTAAATGCATCACTTGCTCACTTTCTAAGCAGCCAAGTGGTATTGCTCATTTGTATCTTGAGAACGGGCAAGAGTATTCATATCGGTACCATTTCAGATTTCTAGTCATGTTAGTCATCTGGTTTTAATTGCACTGAAAAATAATTAACAGGAGGAAAAGAAAACAGCAGTTCCCAAATGTCATTTTATGATTACATAAGCACCCCCCGAAGCCCTTAAACAACAAAAATGTCTCTTCCAAAAGTACTTTGGGATTTTAAATTTTTAGAAAAACAAATTTTAAAATCAAATGACAACTAACTCAATTGGAACTGTCTAATCAGGAACTGTGATTCTAGCAAAAATCTTAGAGAGGAGGTATAATTTTTTAAAAAAGTATTTGCTTCCCTCCTAGGATAAATTTTTGGTCTTATAACAAAAAACATAAAACGCAAAACAGCTGCATTTCCAGTGCATGTGGTTAAAGGAAATCCAGTGTTGTTTTCCTATCCCATTTCAGAAGTTCTCCTATTCAGTATCAAAGACAGTAAGTCTCAGTCGGACTACCAAGAGGTAAAAGGTTAGAGATGCCATGCTTATCTTTGAAGAAGAATGCTTTAGACCAAAAGGGGCCATTTTATCCCTTTAATTCTTAAAATCAATTGTCACTGGTTAATTTTTAGAGTTTCAGGATGAAATATTATATATTATCAACTAAGTTTTAAAAGAAAACACTGAATCATCTGAACTTCTTTTGCTATGAAGAACTTGTTATTATCTAGGTTATATTCTAAATGAGATTAGGAAAATTCTGAAGTATGGGTAATACAGAGCAATTATCATGCAAAAAGAAGAATAAAGGGGGTCAGGATAAGCCAATCCTTAAAAATACAAATTTTGGGTACACAAGAAATATAACTCACTTTGAAGGTGTAGAAGGGCTGGTGATGCAGGAATTCACCATTTGAGAGGCTTTCAATGGTCTAGAACTATCAGAAAATTAGAAAATATATAATGTATACATTTACATTGTTAAAGATACATATTTAACTTATAAAATGAATTATTTTGTGCCACAACTTATACATCTTCTTGAAAAACAATTATAATACTTATAAATTACTAGTAATAGAGGCCAAGAGAGAAAATGAAATACCATCTCTGGGCTCTTCTTGCTCTAATAATCAAAATAAACAGCTTTGAAAATGAAGTATAATGCATATGAAAAAAACACCTTGGGAGAAATTACTTTGTTTCAATTCTTTAAATAAAATAATAATAGCTCTCATTTATTGAGGACTTACTAGATGTCAAGCACTACAGTAAGAACTCAGCATGTATTACCTCACTTAATGTTGACAACCATCCTATTATTTTCCCTATGGACAAGCCAAGGAATTTATCCAAGGTCTGAAAGCTATAAATTGCAGAGGCAGAGAGTCTGGTTTAGGCTTATGACCAGAGATCCTACACTGATGGTAATACAATACCACAGCCAAGATAAGGAAAAACTCAACCTGCAGAGGGCAGTTTGCACCAGCAAAAACATTTACGCTGGAGTGGGGGGAGGGGGGAAGAACCCAAAATACTAAGACTCTCTGAGCACATGCTTTTATTAGTGGACCCTTGTAAACTTACTTAATTTTAAATCCAAAGGGAAATAAATACATTTTATAAAACTGCATCAATTCATGTTGACAAATATTCACTTTCTAAAACGTCTATTACTCTTTGCCAAGAGATCTGGCTTTTTCAGTTACTAACTGTATGACCTTAGGAAAGTCACTTAATGTCCGTGGATCTCCTCTGCAAAATTAAGGATATGTGCAAAAATCTCAAAAATTCTTTTCATCTCTAAAGTTTTTTTTTGGTTTTTTGTGGTACCCAGGATTGAACTTGGGTCCTTGCACTTGTGCAACAGAAAAAGGTCTTTGTTCTTTTTTTTTTTTTTTTTGGTACCAGGGATCGAACTCGGGTCTTTGTGCTTGCGCAGCAGGCAGTGAAACCACTGAGCTAAATCCCCGGCCCTCATCTCTAAAGTTTTAAAGTCCAGACCTTTATAGTCTTTTACCAAACTAGTGTTTAACTACAGAAGAGAATTACAGCATCTGGTTCCAAAATAATGCAAGTATGTAGAAAAGAGCTTGTCCTTCAGAGAAATTCTAAAATGTCACAGCATGCATGATGAAGCAAAACCTAAAGGAAAAGTTACTTTGTTTCTCTTTGAAAAGTTTCTAGGAGACACTGAAATTCTTCACATTGCTGACAACTTACATTTATGAAGGAACTATCTATTTTGGGGGCTCCAGCATAATATTTAGTATATGGCTTCTCAAATTTGCATGTCCCAAAGAGCCAGCTGAGTTATTTATTAAAGATATCAATTCCAAAGTAATATCTCAGATCTACTGAAATAGCACTTCAGGAAGAACACATCAGGGAAGAAGAAACAGTATTTTTAGTGTCCAGGCGATTCTTACGATCACTCAAGTCCTCCAGTGGTCTAAAAGGGTAAGTGGATTTCTTATAATGTACACTATTTTTTTGTTTGTTTGTCTTTTGAGGCAGGGTCTCCCTTTGTAGTTCATTCTGGTCCTGAACTCACTATGTAGCCCAGGCTAGCCTCGAACTCGAAGCGCTTCTTCTGCTTCAGCCTCCCAAGTGCTAAGATTACAAGCATGAGCCACCATGCCTGGCTCCAATGTACTTTATTAAGAAAAGCAGCTAATAAACTTGGTGGAATTTTCTTTAAGCATTTTCTTGAATTACTTCCAAAATTCTACCTGGGAGTCATGTTCCGTAACTCAGTCATTCTTTTCATAGGTTACTGAAACCTATTTCATTTTTTTTTTTTTCTTTTGGTACTGGGGATCGAACTCTGGTCCTTGCACTTGCGCAGCAGGCAGCGAAACAACTGAGCTAAATCCCCAGCCCTACTGAAACCCATTTCAAAAGGAAAGGTAAAGACATTGTCTCTCAAGGACTTACATTGTCGTATGTGCACTCCAGCCAAGAGTAAAAGGTGGTTTTGTATTTTCAGTGCAATGAGATGACAGGGTCAGGTATCTTGGAATGATGACTTGCTGCCCAATCTTGTTGTTAAGTGAGAGAGCCACGTTGAAGCTATATCGTTTCAAATGAAGAATGAGGACCCTAAAAAACAGGAGATGGTGACTCTACTGACACACAAAATACAGGTGGCTCTCTTATGGATTAAGAGAGGTCATTCTAACTAACCATAGTAGATAAATTTTGATTTAACAAATACATCAGGGGCCAAGGATTTAGCTCAGTGGCACCGCACCTGCCTCGCAAGTGCAAAGTCCCGAGTTCAATCCCCGAAACAAAACAAAACAAAATGAATACATTTGGCCAAACTAAAGATATTTCAAAGTATGTTGATATCAGCACATTGAGATCTAATATTTTATAAAGTTAATATACACTAATAAAAAATAAATTTAAAAAATACATTTACTAATACCAGCCATGTACCAGGTACTGGGCTAGGTACAAATAAAAACAATACTCCACACTGGTGGATTAGTGAGGGTTGGTAAAATATTTACAATGCTCCTAAAAAAAAAATAAATAAAAAATAGCAGACAAAAATACTAAATTCTTAAATGTTGCTATTGGTATTGGGTTAAATTCTCAAATAATTTACTTCACTGATACAAAGTTTAAAAGGAAGTGTTATGTAACCACATGGTAATGTCTACTTAACTGAAATGTTCCATAGCCTTTATGTTTGATGAACATTATTTCAAGGAGTTTTTGATAAGAATTAAATCTCATTTCAGAAGCACTTTCTCTGGAGAAGGCTTAGAGAGAAACAGAAAATTTTTCCCTACCTATAAAAAAGTTACACAAAATAATTTGCATGCCAATTCTGACTTGTAAGCCTGAAAAGACTTTTAACCTGTTTGGTTTCTATTGTTGTAACCTTTTTAACTTCACTGTTCAGAACATAATCTCTGCCTGATATATTCAATGTATTTTACAGTCCACAAGAACTTTAAAAATTGAATATTAAAAAATCATACAGGAAAAAACTTCAGCTTTAGGCAAAAAAATATCTGACCTATGGAAAATTTTCTTACTGTCTATGCCTTCATTATGGAAATCACAAGCTAAAAAATTTGCAAACTGAAGATATCAACTGTACTCTTTTAAAAAGCATTCACGATCTTCAAATTCAGTGTGAAAGACAACAAGGAACCAAGTGATGTGAAGAAACTAAAACTGATGTTAAAAAAATCAAACATTTAAATAAATTTCACAACAATCCTAACCAAAATAAAAGGTAATATGAAACAGGAAGACAAGTCAGAATCACTCATTTGCAAAGACGAGGCAGATTAAAAGTGAACAGAATTGATAAAGATTATCAGGTCCTTTAAGAATAAAAGTAGAATGGCTTTGAATAGTAAAATAGTAAAATGGCTTTGAACCAAAACCAGGACAAGACTAATCATTAGCATGTAAGATACAGAGGCTTCTATTTTGGATAAGTTTGAAATAAATTCACCTTTAATACATGATCTAACAGGAAAAAAAGAGAAAAATTCTCCTCAATGTATGTTTTTAATTCGAAAGATTAAGTAGTTTGAGAATGGGAAAGGGAAGAAACACCCAGGTTGTAATATCAAACAAGTTTTTTTATTATTTATTTTTCTGAGATAGGGTCTTGCTATGTAGTTCAAGCTGGTCTTAAACTTATTATGTAGCCTAGGCTGGACTCAAACTGGTGGCAATCCTCCTGCCTCAGCCTCCTGGAATTACAGGTGTGTGCCACCCCAACTGGCGAAATAAGTCTTTTTAATTGCACACTGGTTTCCTAAGTGACATCTGGTAACAACCAATCTTTACCTTAAGTTTTCTTCTTGCTTTCTTCTTGCCTCATAACACTCACAAATATGAAAGAGCTAAGTCTCTTAAGTAAAAAATACAGGCTAGCAAAGACTTTATGAACAAAACTCTGATCACATAGGAAATATTATAAAGAATCAACAACTGGGATTACATCATATTAAAAAGCTTTTGCACAGCAAAAGACAGCCCACAGAGTGGGAAAAAACTATTAGCTATTCTTCAGACAAAAGTATCTAAAATATATAAAGAACTAACAAACAAACAAAAAATAAAACAGACTAGTCCAAATGTAAAGATTCAATTCAAAAATGGGCATCTAAGGGCTGGGGATTTAGCTGTGGCACCACTGCCTGCCTCACAAGCCCAAGGTCCCAAGTTCAATCCCTGGTACAAAAAAAAAGGAGCAACTGAAATGAATACACTTCTCAGATGAAGAAGTACCACCAACACTGAGATTCCATCTAACATCAGAAAGAATGGCTATCATTAAATCAACCAATTACAAATGTTGGTGAGGCTGTGAGGAAAAAGGAACCCTTCTCCACTATGGGTGGGAGTGTATATTTGTACAACCAATATGGAAATCAGTATGGAGATTCCTCAAAAAGCTAAAACTAGAGGTTCCATTTAACCCAGCTATTCTCCTTCTTGGTATCTTCTGGAGTCAAAAGCATCATATCACAGCTCTACATGCACACCCATATTTACAGCAGCACAATTTGTAAGAGCTAAGTCTTGGAAACAGCCCACATGCCCATCAATGGATGAATGGACAAGGAAAATGTGGTTTTTAGATACAATGGAGTGCATGCTGCTATAAAGAAGTATAAACTTGAGACATTTTTAGGTAAATGGATGCACCATAAGAACATAATTTTAAGTGAAATAAATCAGACACACATGTTTAAATACTGCATTATTTCTCTTGTGTGAGAAACCCAAAGAGTAAATAAGGATCAAAATGGATGATGGATATTAGGAAGTAGGAAGACTGTTCAAATGGGAAGGGAAACAAAGGAGAGGGTAGAAGAAGGGAAAAGAAAGAATAGAAGGAAAAAATGGAAACAAAGGTTTTGCAAATGGGGTGAGGAAGAAGGGGTATACGGAGGGGAGGGGAATGGGGAAAAAAAGAAGAATCAAGATATATTATGTTCAGGTACAAATTCTCTATGATGAATTTGTATATCATTATGTATATCAGAAGTGTATCAATAAAATGAATTATAAAAAATACAAGCTATATCCAATATAATACTGCTAAAAACAACTTGTTTTCTAGAAAAGAGTAGATTACAGAATGTAAAAGAACTAGTCTCAGGGGGGTAGGTTCCAGAAACTCCACACTTATTCAAATTGAAGCTAATAAAAGAAAAGCAAAGTACTGCAGGCAAAGTGCCACATAAATAATTCATGTGAGTAATAATCCTCTTTGTGGCTGAGACCATTCTTGGAAAGAACTAAAAGCTGCACTGTAACCACAACATAATTTTTTGTAACCAGCTTCATTTTATGTTTGTCTACATAGCAGTAATAAAATATAAGTTAATTTCACTCCCAAGTCTGAACTGTCTCATAACACAGGAAACTTACTTATAAGAAAAAGAAATGCACAAAATGAAAACAGTTTTTATTTCATTTTCATGCACATGCCTGTGTCTCTGTAGATATTTCTGACAGTGTGGAATTCAAGAGGGTTAGGCCTCACCAGCTGCATCCTACTGCCATCTCCTTGGGACTCTCAAGACCCTTTTGCTCTTTAACATTTCAATGCCCTTCCCTTTCTTATACAAGAGCACTGTATCTGTCCACCCTGTATACTCTACCTATCTCAGTTTGGTTAACCTCCTTTACCATTCTAGTAACCTCCTAATCTATTCTAGTAAATGTAAGTTTCACTTACATTTGTAAGTACTTTTAAAAAACACATATTTTAAATTTACCTGGGAAGCCTATTAAATTTGTGTCTGACAAGGGCACACTTCCCACCACATTTTTCACAAGAATACTCAAGTTCTTCTGCCTATAAAAAGATGAGAGGGAAAAATGAAGGATGAAATTGATTCAGCATTAATAATAATCATTATATGCAAACAATCTTCTCTAACCTTATTAGTTTAGTGGAACGATAAGTCTGAACCAGTTTAAAGTTTTGTGATGTGAGCCACAAGAATTACCAAATTAAGACTAACATCTCAACTTAAGATGGTAACTAAACTCGTAAAGTACCAGATTCTCACTTTTCCCCATGGATACACATGAGCTGCTGCCAAGAGTGTATCTAGATTTTAACATTTGGCTATAGCACAGAAAAGATCACCTTCAGGTTAGGCAGAGTTCCTGGTCTGTTAGGTGCAACTCTACCCCTTTCTTATGTGATTAATATATTTTTCTTGGTTTTTGTTTTTGGTACCGGGGATTGAACTCGGGACCTTGTGCTTGCGAGGCAGGCTGTGGAACCACTGAGCTAAATCCCCAGCCCTACTACCCCTTTCTTATAATGGAAATCAATCTTTTTGTGACAGCCCACTAAGGATAACTGCTCTAAAAGGACCCAAAGTTTGGGGTGGATATCATTACCTAGAGAAAACTGAAACAAGAAATCCTTAAAAAATGGGGATAAAGATACAAGCAATAATCTTCAGCCTATGATAATTATAGAAATAGTAGAGAATGATTTTTAAAAAAACAAGAAAAAAGCAGAGTATTTATCTTTGGGTAGAACAGAACACTCATCATTTAAGTAACAGATTTTTTTTTTTAAACCTTAGGAGGACAACAGTGCCAATTTGCTAACAACAAAACAAGGACTATTACTATATAGATGAAGAGGGATCCTGGCAAATTTCCACCAGTTATAAGGTCTGCTACACAACAGGTCTAATTAGGGCCCAGAAACTTTCTTAATACCTGTGAGGTTATATCATAGACACAAATATTTATCTACAGCTTTGGATAAACATGATCCTTCCCTTCCTGTTCCCATCAGGGCACATACAACCTAAGGAAAAGCAAAGAGCATTTTTCTTCTTTAGCTCTTAGTATACCAACTTATATAGTATTACCAATTTTAATTTATGATATGAAATTTTAGCATGTTACTTCAAGTGCTTTAAATTAGTATTTTTTACAAATAATGAACCACTTCTAAGCTTGTCTAAAATAGCTCCTGTTGAGTTAAAGATATAATCTGTAAAAAAAAAAAAAAAAGATATAATCTGTTTAATCAGTTTTCTTCTTCAGTGAGTTACAATCAGATTTATCAAGCTTTATAAAGTATTTATAAATACTTTTCATTTGTTTTCCCTGTAGTAATTTGGTTGAAACTCTGCCTTAAAAAACCAATTTAAGGGCCGGGGATTTAGCTCAGGGGTTTTGCTGCCTGCTGCACAAGCGCAAGGACCAGAGTTCGATCCCCAGTACGAAAAAAGAAAAAACCAACTTAAAAGACAATTATCTATGACATATTAAATATATTTATATGAAAATACCAAAGGTATTACTTACCCTAAAGAAAAGATCAAGAGAATCTTGAATTGAACGAGGAGGGAGTGGCTTTTTCCTTCGAGGAAGGTCGATGGAGAGGTCATTAAACTGTTCTCTTTTGGGGATAGTCTCTCCACATCTGTAAGAATAAAAAGAGACAAATATAAGTAGTTAGAGGAATGAAAAAACACAAATATACTTTCCTACAGAATTCATGTTGCTGACATACTATGGGTAAGCATAGGAAATAGACAACATGTAAGACATTTTCTTCTTCTTCTTTTTTTTTTTTTGGTAGTACTGGGGATTGAGCCCAGGGCCTGATGCACGGTAGGCAAGTGCTCTACCACTGAGCCCACCCCAGCCCCTTTTAAATTCTATTTTGAGACAGTGCAGTTAAACTGCCCAGGGTTGGCCTCATACTTGGGATCCTCCTACCTCAGCCTCTAAGTAGCTCAGATTACAGGTGAGCATTATCATGCCCAGCAAAACTTTTTTCATGTCTACATTAAGCCTTATCAAATTAATAGAGATAAAATATCAATTGCAAAAGATCAATAGCAAAAGAAACCACAAAAATTACATAAACACATGGAAACTGAACAACACATTTCTGAATAACCAATGGGTCATAGAGGAAATGAAAGAAGAAATTAGACAGTTCCTACAATTAAATGACAATGACAATACAGCATATCGGAATCTATGGGACACAATGAAAGCAGTCTTACAAGGGAAATTCATAGCAGTGAATACTCATATTAGGAAAACAGAGTGA